GTGTAACACCCAACTAGCTAATCTTGTTTGACGAACAAGGAATTGAGCAGCTTCCGCCATTATTTCCTCACTAAAGCTGCTTACAATCCAGAGACAGTACGAATCACAACATTACCTCACTTTTGTCGGGCCAGGTGACCAATCAGAGAGTAAATGAAACAGTCAGTAGTTCTCTGGTTGGAAAAGAAAAATAAAGAAAATGACAGTACTTGTCATTTAATTTGTTACCTCCTGATAGATTTTTGTTCTTAACCTTTCGTTTTACGTCTTCTTCCGTTCAGCGCAACGTTTATTCAGGGAACTCTGGCACCATTTAGAATGAAATGGACGATAATAATTTCAGGGCAGTGCTGCTTTGTGGTTAACACGTCGCTGCTGTACGGGTGTGTGTAGCATCCTGGAGTTCCCCCTCACTCTGGTTTAACAGGACCAAGATGGTGACGACCAAATGCCAAACTAGAGGTTTCGAAACGGAAGTCCATGAACTCATTGGTAACGTCGTGGTCGCCGTTTCTGTCTTTTGCGTACCGTCCATGGTGCCGCTGCGATGTACTTTATTAGAAAAATCATGTGTTTTTTGAAAGCACGCTCTGGTAGATGCCAAAAAAGTCTTTATAAACCCAGAAATATGCAGAATATGAGCTATTTAGTGCAAACTTTTGTTGGTTATTAACCATTGTGGTCGTGAGTGGTTATTCCAGGAGAGTGGCACAGTTTTATTTCCTGTTTTACGTTTCGATTTCATGGAAATGTTTGTCTTCCATGTGCTGTGATATCGTGTAAAAGCAACAAGAATAGCTTTGAATCGTTTTGTCATTGAGGAAACACTTTGCTAACATCAGCCGAAACTGACAAAAAACGTGTTCGTCATCTTACTAACATCACCTGATCTAATTTTACCATTACTGTCGACCTGTTATACAATATTTCAGTTTTAGATCCTTTAGCGCGTCTTTCCGCCCACTTGGCACCCAGTGTTGTTTTTTTTTTCTTCTGTTTCTACGTCTGTCGGTGCAGCATGATAATGAGCTTGCAGACCTGAAACTTTCTGGTGATGAGTAATTCATCACAGTGAATATCAGGCAAACTTAGATTCTTTTTGGCAGAGCTGTTGTTTCTTCACACAGTTGGAATCACAGACTGTTTCTTCATCTGCGATGCTTCTTGACGACTCCAGAGCTGCGTGCATCGGCGCCGGTTTTCAAAATGAAACTAGGAAAACTTAAATGCCGTCAAAAGAACGGAGCTCTTCACGTAACAACAACACAAATGAAAATACTATAATACTTTAATTTGAGCTGTACTAAAGTGATAAAACATGAGGGATGTATCTTCCTAGCCTGGGATGCAGTTCAATAATGTGGCCGGTGTTGTCCTCTGGGCTCTGATTTCATTCTGCAAAATTAGCATCTTCACCTTGTGACCAAAAGAGATTTGTTCAAGACGCCAGACGCCGTGAGTCAGCCGGTGGGTTTTCATGAACTCAGTGTCTCTCTGGCTCTGGAGGTACAGATGATGTGCATGTGTCAGTTGGTCTGAAGATGCAGTGAAGAGGAAGCTGATGATTTCATTTCTCAGAGAGGAACCCGGGGCTGCTGTGCATGCAGCACTCTGCTGCAGCCCAGCAAGATCTTTAGCGGCGCGTTAGCTGCGGTCTGCTGCACTGTCTGCTCCACATTTGGACTTTTAGCACTCAGAGCACCACTTAAGCTCTTCTCTTCAATCTGGCTCCTCTCTGCCTTCATTTTTTTTTTTTGTCACGGACGACCTTAAACAGACGCTGTTACATCAGTGTTGCTGTCCTCTTTCTAGCCCCCTCATCTGGAATGTATTCCGGTTCAGAACGATATCATCCCGCTCCACTGCATCTATTCACCCTTTTGACATTTACCAGTAACGTAACCCGCTGAGACATTCGCGCTGTGGCCTCTGCTGACCAGCTGTGGCACTGGCATCGGCTCAGATAAATTTAATACAAGTTTCCATCTGCACTGTGTTTGTGAAACAGCATTGAACACAATAATAAGCCACTCATAATTCTGGGAGGCTTTTCTAAAGTGTAAGGCCTAAGTAGAAACTCTGCCCCGGGGGTTTTGACTGCTTGCCATATGGCGCCGCTATAGCAGTCGACGGCACTAAAAGCCCCCTTTCTCGCCACCATGCACGGACGTTTTAAGATGATTTGGGGATTTGCAAGTGAGGAGGACATTTCGTGCAGTGTTGAGAAGATTATTATCAGCGTGTGAACTCGTGACCTGTTTGTCCCTCAGCTTTATTATTATTGTTATTATTATTATAGCCCTCTTATATTTGGAGTCCATGCATTGGCGTGATTGTTCAGAGATTAGATTGAGTATGTCTGGATTTAGTAAGAGTAAGAAATAAACCCGGTTTTAGAAAATGCATGACAGAGAGATTTGCGAAAGGATGGTATTAAAATGCTTTTGGGGCTTTTTTGGTGTCCAACTCCAACTAAGAGAGAAAACAACAACGAGCAGTGATGAGGGGCAGAAGGGTGCTTATGGAGGGCACTCCACCCCCCACCTCATGGGACTTGATCGGCCACCTCTGGTGACGCCATCGCCGGGGTCAGAAGGTTTGTCAGCAGGATGGTTTAAAACGAACCCTGTCTAACCTGAAAAGCAGTCGAGCGCAGGCTGCAGCAGCGAGGGGGCGGGGTTTAAAGCTGCCAGACAGTTTGCAGGAGTCTTGCACAGGATGTGACAGAAACACACCGATTCATCCGTTTGCACGCAGTTTTCGTTATGACGGCGTGACGTACAGTTCAACCTCCATTTTACATGAACTCTCATGTAAAGCAGCGTAAATAAACTAAAATAAATAATCGAATGCAGCAGAAAGAACAAGAAGTTTCACTCTTGATATGTGAGATATTTCGACTGTCAGGGCCGCTTTACCAACTTTCACATCTTACTTACTGGAGTTTCGGTGCTGCTAAATACTTGTATGATCTGCAATCTGAATGTGTTCAACCGCACGTGTGTTCTGTCGACCTTCAAAATTTAAAATCCCTCAAATTCAGCTAAAAGTTTCTATCAAACATCGTCCTGTTGAGGAAGCGATCAGCTGTGAGATCTGGTGAGAGTCAGCCGTTTCCCATCGTGCATTCGCTGCAGAGCCACCGGCGCCAAAAAGCTCCAACCGCCTTGATCTAG